AATCAGTCTATGAGTGGATTAGCAGTTCCAGTCCCGCTCCTGTGCCAAGTAAGTCCACTACGAGAATACTTACCAATCAGGGAAGAGTCATTAAGTTTCTGTGGATCCCCTCCCACAATGGATTAATATTCCTACAGTTACTGCTCAAGGTAAAATATATTTGTCATCCGTTTTCCCTCATCTGTATGTGGGAATGAACGAGCAGATGTGCTGGCTGCTGAAGGAGACCATATTGAGTACTTCATACCCAAGACTCTACTGCAAATTAGAGGTATTGTCAGGCAACATCACCGTGACAAGGTAACCGAGGAAAGGAGGATAGAAGCACAAACCAGTGAATCTGTACGATGGTACAACATGGTTGCAGCTGGCAATGCCAATCATTATGGCCGAAGAGGAGGAGGACGAGGGAGAGAATCAGTAATAGCGAGAATCCGTCTTGGATACAAATATCCATGGAGATATGGAATGGAAACAACAGTTGATCAGCGAAATTGCAGAATCTGTGGTAAGAGTGATGGACAGCGCCTTGACCACTATCTACGTGAATGTGAACACCTGAGAGACATTAGGAATATGTGTAGAATAATAAACCCCACATTGTTTGAGTTAGGAAAACACTTTGTCAAATATTGATACTGTTCTTAAAAGATTTCCCCCATTTTGCACCCGCAAGATAACGTAAGCTTTTAAGGGTTGATAGATGTTAATCTTCTTGTTTGAGAAGCTGTTCACTTGAGACAGTTAAGCAAGTCCCAGCTGTGTCTGGGTACAAGTGACAGGATGAACAACCCAGCGGGTTTTCTTCCTATTGGGGAGTGTTGTACATGCTGCTATGGCGGTTTGTTCTCTCACAAGATGAGTGGCGCTGCCCAATAAACTCGACCCTCGGGGCAAAATTTAAAAAATACGGGCTCACCATAGGCCGTGCTACTTGGAACGTTTTGTTCCCAGTAGCTGAATCTTAAACAATAGAGTGGATTAGAAAGCTCGCATCCAATGACTCTATACCTCCTCTAAATAGACTGTTCTATTGCTTAGAGCACCATGGGGATGGCTCAACTTCCTGTTTCACATGTGACAGCTCTAACTGCCAGAGTCATGCAAGATACATGCTACCAGAGCCATGCAAAATGCAACCTACTCAGCTACCTTGCGATGATGATTTCAGGGCTCAACGTCCCCGCGACCCGGTCCTTGACCAGGCCTCTCCTGGTTGCTGGACTGGTCAACCAGGCTGTTAGACCACACTCTCCCTGTGTTTCCTTCACTTACCATTTCACGCTCATCTTTCACCAATATGACACACTAAAAAATATAAAATTACTGCCCGAAACGCTTTGCGTACTAGTGGCTTTAGGCATTGTATATACTAGCTCTATCTATAAATCCATCAACTTACCTGAATAAAAAAATTTAATAATTTAAAATAACAAATGAAATATTTTGAAAGCTGCAATTCCAGTTGTAAATTGTACCACAGCCCGCGCTGCCTGGAACTTTTTGTTCCCAGTAGCTGAATCTTAAAACAACAACATGTAATCCATCCTGCCACAAATGTGCCAGAGAGGGTAGAGTGCCCCAGGGCAGGGTGATTGAACCTTCAATCACCACCAATGACCAGCAACAGACGATCATTGTGGTGGTGTTATAGTACCCTGTATGCCGTGGGGGGGGGGGGGGGGAAAGAAGGATTCCGGACGGCGGGGGGTTTGAATCCTGGCTGGGTCAAGAGAATTCTTAGTGCAACCCATCCTCCGAATTGACAGTACGTTTTAATACTAAGTAATAAGTACATTTCCTTACTGTTATACATAGTACATAATTGCACTTAAAGGGCCGTTACATTTACCCATCCCCCGATTTAAGTCTCCTCGTTTTCTTTTAGGACACTTGAAATTTTAAGATGAAATTTTAAAGTTCAATTGCTATTTACAAGTTTTAAATATTAGGATTTTCTTTTTCACTTTTATTTAACAAAAGAGATTTTATACAAAATTTGAAAATATCCTGAGTTACTTTACAATTTATTTAAATATTTTAGTTTTGTTTTATTTGTTTTATAAAACTGTAATATCAATATAGCTATAGGTTAAGTAATAGTTATAATTAAGATGCAATAAAATGCTTATCTTCACAAACTAAGACAGTCAGGTTAGGTCGTGGTTTTCTATTCAGCTTTTTTAGGTAAACTCAAATATTCACAATATATTAGACAGTACGATTTAATACTAAGTGTAAATAAGTACAACTCTTGACTGTCATACATAATTGCACTTATGGGGCTGTGTACATTTACTTCCCCATTTTTGGAGGACGGGCTGCAAGAGGTACCATAAGCTCACACAGTGTAGAAGGTAACGTTTAACATTCCTACAGTTACTGCTCAAGGTAAAATATATTTGTCATCCGTTTTCCCTCATCTGTAAACTCTGTGAGACTTATGGAAAAAAATAGGGAGCCCAAGAGCCGAGTCCTGTGAGTCCTTAGCCCACTACTTCCCTCCTTCCTGACGTGTCTTCTCTCACTAACTCTCGGCTTCCTGCCTGTTAGGTACTCTCGTACTCGGTCAATAGTACCTTGTTACTCCCGCCTGGCGCAGTGCTGGATGATGCGGAGAGAGACATGGAGTGACAGTGGACTGGTCGGTGTATTAGTAAGTTATACACTTGAATTTATGGATGAATGCTTCTGGAGGAGTGTGGGGGCGTTGGTGGGTGAGTCGGTGGCAAAGTGGATGTGTGGGTGTGTTGGTAGCGGGCCACCCACCACCTGCCCAGTGGGGGTTGCACACCCTTTTCCTTTACCCATTCATAACTCAGCCCCATGTCTCATGTACCCATTGTACGACCCGCACATCCTCCCTCCACCCACCCTGTGCACCACCCGTTCCTCTTCTCACCCATTCCCTGCACCATTCCCTTCCTACCATCACCCGTTAACAACGTTACCTATCTTCCTGTTTCCCGGGTCTCCTCCACCTCCTCAGTCAATCATTTCCCCTCCTTCTCCCCTCCCCAATCCATCTCAATCCCTCCTCTTCCCACCTCCCTCTCTATCCATCATTTCACTCCGTCATAGTAACTCAAGTGTCTCATCCCAGCTGCGAAGGGCCTCTTCCATGTCTCTCAGTGAGATGTCTCTCATCTCCAGCGATATCATTCTCTTTATTCATTGTAATCAATTAATGCGATCTGTCATCCTTATCGGGGGTCACCTGTCATCGCTTTCCCGTCTCAGGGACGGTAAGAGACAGCTCAAAGTTTCATTTATAAATGTTGTTTTGTTGTGTAGTGTCACAGGATCACGTCTGGATGCGTGCCTAGTCAATCTTCTCAAGACCTTTCGTTGTCTCTTTGGTGTCTTTCCCACTGTGATTTGTGTCGTTCCTGGGCATCATATAGTGTCATCTGTGTTATCTCCCACCCTCGTATCCCAGCATCAGTGTCATCTGTGTCATCTCTCAGATAATTCAAGAGTTTCCTAGAGCTATATAGAGTGACAAAGACAAAATCTTTAGCCCGGGTGGAACATGAACAAGGGGACACAGGTGGAAACTGAGTACCCAGGGACGTTAGAAAGAATTTTTTCATTATCAGAGTAGTTAACAGGTGGAATGCATTAGGCAGTGATGTGGTAGAGGCTGACTCCATACACAGTTTCAAGTGTAGATATGATAGAGCCCAGTAGGCTCAGGAACCTGTACACCTGTTGACTGACAGTCGAGAGGCGGAACCAAAGAGCCAAAGCCCAACTCCCACAAGCACAACTAGGTCAGAGAGATGAAGAGTCTGCTCCTGCAGGAGTCGTCTTAGTCATCAACAGTGACAGGAGAGTGGTCCTTTCTTAGTTCCTGTCGCGTGAGCACTGGAGTGAATCCCCATGACGATGATTTATCTGGACTGGCTAAGAGAAAAAACAAAACATTCGTGACCTTTGTCTAGAGCCGGACGCCCTGTGGTTGACGGAGCATAAGGACATTCTACCTGGTCAGCTCAACTTAAGGTGTGTATATGTGTGTGTCTCCGACAGCCAAAGTACGTGAATGCACTTCAAACAGGAGCACAGCAGTTTTGAAGTAATCACCCTTTCATCAAAACATTCTCCGTGAATCGTTCGTGTTAAACATAACTCTAGACCACTTTATTAAATAGTCACGTTGTAAAATGACTTAGAGGAAGAGGTCGACGGCGCTATCACGTGCACCAGCGACACTTGAAGGACTGGAAAGCATTCAGTATCACTCATTCAGTATCACTCATTCAGTATCACTTCAGTAAGCTCCTCTGTCATACATGGCAGAGGAGATCCAGGTATTCGCAGTGTCGCGAATTTCACCGGGATCTCGTCCACCAGTTCTGTACGAACCGTTCGTCTTGAGAGCCAGCACCTTCTCGTCAGCAGACCAGCACGTGTCCACGTGGAGTGTCAGCAGACCAGCACGTGACTACGTGGAGTGTCAGGATACCCGTGACGGGTTCACGTCGCCAGAGGTGACTGCAGGAGAATATGACTGGTTGGGAGTCACGTGTGTACGAACCGGTAGTACAAAGTGCGGTTCTCTGTGTTGAACCTTTGTGGTTCCATGTTCACTCTCTCGCGAGGGAAGGGAAGGGAAATATCAGGGGAAAGCACTAAACCATGACGACTATATAGCCCTGGGAAGGGGTCCGGTTAAGGATCTGGGATGGGACGGGGGGGAAGGAATGGTGCCCAACCATTTGGACGGTCGGGGATTGAACGCCGACCTGCATGACGCGAGACCGTCGCTCTACCGTCCAGCCCAACCACTTAGGCTGGACGGTAGATGATTATCCCCCAGTATCACCCTACAGTTATCCCCCAGCATCATCCTACGAAGTTATCCTCAGCATCATCCTAGAGTAATCCCCCGGCATCATCCTACGGAGTTATCATCAGCATCATCCTACGGAGTTATCCCCAGCATCATCCTATAGAGTTATCCTCAGCATCATCCTACGAAGTTATCTCCCAGCATCATGCTACGAAGTTATCTCCCAGCATCATCCTACGAAGTTATCTCCCAGCATCATCCTACGACGTTATCTCCCAGCATCATCCTACGAAGTTATCTCCCAGCATCATCCTACGAAGTTATCTCCCAGCATCATCCTACGAAGTTATCTCCCAGCATCATCCTACGAAGTTATCTCCCAGCATCATCCTACGAAGTTATCTCCCAGCATCATCCTACGAAGTTATCTCCCAGCATCATCCTACAGAGTTATCCCCCAGCATCATCCTACGAAGTTATCTCCCAGCATCATCCTACAGAGTTATCTCCCAGCATCATCCTACGAAGTTATCTCCCAGCATCATCCTACAGAGTTATCCCCCAGCATCATCCTACGAAGTTATCTCCCAGCATCATCCTACGAAGTTATCTCCCAGCATCATCCTACGAAGTTATCTCCCAGCATCATCCTACGAAGTTATCTCCCAGCATCATCCTACAGAGTTATCCCCCAGCATCATCCTACGAAGTTATCTCCCAGCATCATCCTACGAAGTTATCTCCCAGCATCATCCTACGAAGTTATCTCCCAGCATCATCCTACGAAATTATCTCCCAGCATCATCCTACGAAGTTATCTCCCAGCATCATCCTACGAAGTTATCTCCCAGCATCATCCTACGAAGTTATCTCCCAGCATCATCCTACGAAGTTATCTCCCAGCATCATCCTACGAAGTTATCTCCCAGCATCATCCTACGAAGTTATCTCCCAGCATCATCCTACAGAGTTATCCCCCAGCATCATCCTACGAAGTTATCTCCCAGCATCATCCTACAGAGTTATCTCCCAGCATCATCCTACGAAGTTATCTCCCAGCATCATTCTACAGAGTTATCCCCCAGCATCATCCTACGAAGTTATCTCCCAGCATCATCCTACGAAGTTATCCCCCAGCATCATCCTACAGAGTTATCCCCCAGCATCATCCTACAGAGTTATCTCCCAGCATCATCCTACGAAGTTATCTCCCAGCATCATCCTACAGAGTTATCTCCCAGCATCATCCTACGAAGTTATCTCCCAGCATCATCCTACGAAGTTATCTCCCAGCATCATCCTACGAAGTTATCTCCCAGCATCATCCTACGAAGTTATCTCCCAGCATCATCCTACAGAGTTATCCCCCAGCATCATCCTACGAAGTTATCTCCCAGCATCATCCTACAGAGTTATCCCCCAGCATCATCCTACAGAGTTATCCCCCAGCATGATATAGCGGTGTTATCAGCCCAGCATCCGTGCTGGTGCCCGCTCTGATATATCATTTCCTGTTCCCTTCCTCGTATGTATCTCTGAAGTCTGTCTGTCTCTGTCTCTCTCTCAACAGTCATTTCTCCTGCTGATTATCTTACTACAAACTCTGGGTGGAGGTGGCTTCCACAACTTATTCTTTCAGTTCATTCCACCTGTTCCACCATTTGCATTTCCATCGTCGCGTTCTAGTTTCTCTCACTTTAAAGAAACTGTCCATCTCCATCTTGTCAATTCCGTTCATTGTATTGTGGGATGGGATTGTGGGTGCCGCCTTCAACGATCTAAACAATCATTTACACATACTACGGTTATCTTCTTGAGGTTATCTTGAGGTTATCTGCTAATAACCCCCGTAGCGAAATATCTGGTCATCAAGATATATAGTATATTACGTATATACTTGTATATACCTTAGAAATTATACTTTGCAGGAAATGCGGGCATTAAAAAAAATGTGGGATTAAGTATTGAAAGATAAGCCCATTAACCTCTACGGTCTTTTCTAAAAATAAAAATCGATATATTATATTAGAGAGTTTGTCCTGAAGGAGTATTCAGCCATTATGATTATGCGTTAGACTCTTTAATGGATATATAGCAGCATATTCTCCGATATATTAAGCCCATTGACGTACCCTGTTAAAGATTCGCTACTTGGAATAAAATGTTCCAAGTAGCACGGGCTATGGTGAGCCCGTAAACTGATACGTTACTCACGTAAACCAGGAACACTTCGAAGAAATCAACTAGAGCCGTGAGGAGACTCGAACCAGCGATCAGGGTGTGGATTGGCTTCTACTTGAAGCCAATCCAGACTTCCTACACTTAGATTACCTACACCAGATACTCTGGTGTAGGTAATCTATTAACTTTACGCTCCAGGTTCTGGTACATGAGGATATCACATTCACGATATGTAAGATATCGATGAGAAAATCCATTGATTTTTTATGGAAGAGTGAGTGTGTGTGTGTGTGGTGTGTGTGTATAATGTATGTTGGTGTTTGTGAGTTGTATTGTATGTTTGTGGTGCTGGTGTATGTGTGTGTGTGTGTGTGTGTGTGTGTAGTCTATGTGTGTACTCACCTAATTGTACTCACCTAATTGTGCTTGCGGGGGTTGATCTCTGGCTCTTTGGTCCATGTGTGTACCCACACAGTACCATGTGTGTGTGTGTGTGTGTATGTGAGTGTGAGTGTGTGTGTGTGTATGTGAGTGTGTGTGTGTGTGTATGTGAGTGTGCGTGTGTGTGTTGTGGCTTGCAGGATGTTTAAGTTAAAAACAAATGATTGTCGTGGTTTACAGTAAGTTTACAGCCTGCTCCACTTGTGTCAATATGTGCTAAAGCGGCCGTGTTGCTCTTGTGTGTAGCACTGTATTCACCTATTCGTGCCTGTAAGGCTCCAGCCATTAGCTCTTGGGCGTCGCCTTTCCTGTTGACAGTTGTCTAATATACTGCCTCCCCCAATCTGTTTTGTCGTTATATAGATTATATATTGAACACACACAACCATTCTCAGAATGCAGGCGACAATAGTTGTCTTGCTCTCAGGGGCCTGTTTACTGCTAGGTGAACAAGTCATTGGGTGATATGAAGCGCGGCCCAATCGT